CCCCCCCCCCCACGAACGTTTTAATTAATATTTTAATTCAACCAAGTCCACGTGACCCGCACCTCTCTCATTAATGGGGACGCGTAAACAGGAGCGTGAGAATTCGGCGTCTCGTTGCTGCTGGCGGCGCTGTTCAAATCAACGTGGTGGAATTCACGCAAAGCCAGAAGTCCGACCAAGTGTATAAGTGGTGGTGATGGCGGTGATGGTGGTAATAGTAGTACCGGTATTGGTAACAGTGTCTAAATACACGACTACACGGAAATTCCTTAATGTCAGAAATGAGAGGATCAGGCTGGAAGCTCAAAACTTAAATATATCCCCTTTAAGGTCTCAGTCTTCAGAGTCTAAAGCACTAGAGTTCATGGGGGGTCTCCCTTTTACGATATTTCCATACAAAGAAGACCCCTCGGATCACTCACCGGATCTACGATGTTTCGATTCAGAAATCGCAGGGTACCTCTGATCAATCTGATTTCGCTCGAATTCCTAAGCTTCTGCCTCAGCATTACCTGCTTACCTATCTAAGCCACCTTTAAAGTCTGTGCACCATTGAATTTCTACGTTACCATCCCGGACCTAAAATGTTCAACGATTTATAAGAAGGTGAACCTTCTCGGAAGGTTTCGCTATGGAACGTCAGGCAAACCTGGCCGTTATAATTATCCGCGAAAAGTGGAACGCGAAGGAGAGGGTGATGCAGGGAGCAAACGGCAGTCGTGAAGCAACACCAGCAGGCAGCGATAACTAGCTGAACGTAGGTACGAGGATAGAGGCACCAGCTCTTTTTGCAAAGATTTGCTCGGATTAATTGGCCCGTTGGCAACCACGGAGCGTGCCTCTTGGCGAAGCGATCGTATAGCTCGTGGCTGCATACCCAGTGTCGAAAAAAAATCATTACCAGCTAGGTAATATATCGAAACCGCATAATCCATGTCTCTGCGAAAAATCCATCTTGGAGACTGCGGTATAACCTATCAAAGAGATTTATTTAAAGTAGAATATTCAGTAAAGAGATTATAATTATTAATAGTTATTATAAATGGACTGAAAAATATTTAAGATATTTATTTTGTATTATACTATATAGGTATTTATATACGTACGCATATGTAAGGTTAGGTGCGTGCCGATAGTGGATAGGCGGTTGACCGAGGATCCAATCATCCGAGGGACCATCGATCTTGGCTCCTCCATTGCTTCTCTCTCTCTCTCTCTCTCTCTCTCTCTCTTACTCATTCCTCATGCCATTTCTACTCTCTAGCGGACACTACGGACTCTCCTGGTGGCAACCAGAACTGGAATCGAACACCGCGCCACGGCGCGTCGCACCGCAATGAGTCACCGGCTGCCATTAATTACACTGATTGAGCAAACACAGGCCCGTGCCGCGATGCGCGTCCACGGCATGATGGGACGGGTGGACAGCAGGTCGGATAGGATCACGTTGGCTATACTCCTGCATGTTCATCGCAATGTATTCCAGCCCTCAGTGGTCCTCGCCATTCCATCCATCCATCCATCCATCCATCCATCTATATATATTATATCGGTCCCTCATCGGCTTCATACTCCCGCATCGGGACGTGAACGTAGCCCATATTGTTACTATCTGAATTTTGCCCTCGTTACTCGTCAGATACTTCGGTCCCTACGCAAACCGCAAACCATCGCTAGAGCCACGCCGCTTCATGTTCACCTCCAGTCAACTCAACCTGACTCAGACTTCCCACCTCCACCGGCCACGACAAAGCCGGCTTTGCCGAGCGCGCAATCAACCGTGGCTAAAGTCACGGCAGGCTCGTGCCGCCTTTACTTTAATGCGACGGACATTGGGGTTATGTGCTCGAGCGTAGCCGATGATGATCGACCGGATGGCTTATCCATGTCGTGACGCCTCAGATATATATATAGTATATAGACATCGTTTCATACTCACGTTAAACTTGATAATATCTATTCTTTTTTTCAAGTCTACTTTTTCTTATTTTATCTCAATTTGATTTTATCGCTTTTATGGTATTTTAATTTTTTTATTCGCAGGCTGGCAAATACATTGGGAATGCATAGACGCTAATGAATGACTCGTCTGGCAATCGATGTTCCTAACCACGGAGCGCAGGACGAGTCTCTGTATAGCCAAAAGCCATATAATTCGTTTGACGATCGATTTAATCCATTCGATTAAAACTGCCTTTATATGCCAGAGCTATGAGATTCGTGCAATCAAAAATTTGTTTGATAACACAAATAAGTATACACGTATATGCGTTTACGGTATTCGACGGCACTTGCCTAAATCTCTCGGAACGAAAGAAAGTGATTGCAGAATTTCAATAATTTCTTAAGGACTTAATCGTCACGTTCCAATTTGCCTTAAGGCATAAGAATGTTTTTTAGCAAGTAACTTTATACAGGCTGATCATATTCTCACGTTAACCACTGCCAGACGCGTCACGGTATTTTCCACTCGATCGAGCGAGAGCGACGTTTTACCTCGTGGTACAGACTTTAACTTTGCTCGCAGGAAACTTCACGTAAGCTCGTTACGACAGTGGTTCAGGGTTGATAGGAGAAGAATCCATTGGGACGACGATGCTCTTGCTGAATAAAAAGGCGATACCAGTGATTGACCATGGTTCAGGAGCTTTCAAGTAGCCTGAACAACCAAGATGGAAAGTACGGTATCTCTTCAGCCACTTAACCGAAAATCACGTATCCCAGACGTTCAGCTATCTGCAGTCCACAATTGTTTTGTACGTTTGGTAGACGTACACGGTCCACTGACTTTTGGTCCAAATATTGTTTGTCGCGAGACAGTTTGGAGCTGCGCGACCACCGATTAAATGCCAGACTAAGTGGTTAATAAAAAGTATTTTCGCTCTTTATGGCTCGTCCTCACGATGGCGACCCGTTTCTTCCTCCTTTTCATCCCTTTATTTAACATTCGTCTCTCTTTCTCTCTCTGGCGCATACTTCTTTATTATTCCCTATCCCTGTCAGTCCGCCTCTCTCATGAAGTCACACAATGAGACGAGCTCTCAAGAGCGAGGCACGACTCTTTAAAGCACTCGTAGCTCTTACCAGGCCTTTTTACCTTCTTCATCGTATCAGGACTGTACCCGGAGACAAAGAAGCTGCAATGCGAATAAGCCTAAAGATATAATGACGGATGAAGAATGAAAAAGCTTTGATAAAAGTCCATCGGTGGCCGGCGAGCTTAATTATTTCTTTCCACTAGATAAATATTCTAAGGCCACCTCATTGCTGGTAGCCAACCCGTCTTTATTTTCTTAAGCTTCTTTTGTTCTTGTCCGTTTCTTTTTTTTTAATCTGCTTCTTCTTATTCTCCCGTCTCCCTCTCTCTCTCATTTTCCCTTTCTGTCTTTCTCTGATCGTAGCCAAAATTCTCGCCAGCAGTGAGCGACCGCGAATTTTACTCCCACGACGGAAACTTATATGTTATCCTGCCTCCTTCGCTTGAAATGCCCCGGTTTTACTATCGCTGTCTCTCTCTTGCTCGTTCTGTCACGCGTCGTTATTTTCCTCCTCTCCTCTCTCGTACGATCCACATATCTCTCTCCTAGTTCCTCCTCAATGTTCTCCCTTCTCTCACCTTCCCTCTCCACATCTCATCCATCTCTCGCAACGTGAGAGGATGCCGATGTCACACTCTCGGCACTTGACGTTGTCTCGGTGGCTGGCTTCTACGGTATAGGCGGATAACATACCGGGTGTCACTGAAAATATATTTTTGATTAATGAAACATCGACATTCATAAATTATACAATTTAAAATACTCGCAAAATATTTCTAATCGCAATCAATAAGTACACTGAAAATGTACTTTAATGTAATGTATAAAATTCGAAAATTATTAAATATATTCGATTTCTAAATAACGTAACATAACGTAATGTATCCTATTTATCGCGTATCTTTATAATCTACCGCTGAATCCTCCGTAGCATTGAAAAACATTTTTGAAAAAAAATAATTTTTTTATTTTCAAAAATCAGTGACACTCGCGTAATTGCAATTATTTCAATTATCCGCATTATTCGGTGTCGTTCTTGTATCTGGATCGGCAAAAAAATACAAATTTTCTAAATCTCTGAAATATACGTTTTACTAGACCACCCGTTGGATAACCTCGTACGTATAGGATACGTATGTGCACAGATATCGTGGTGTATAAATATAGATATATACGTAGGTAAAGTCGAATCGGTGGCTCTCTAGCACGCCTGTCGTCCCCGCGAAACGCGAAGCGGGGTTTCGCTCGAAGCTTAAATGAGCCGCGCACTGTCGAGGCATCCGCGGCAACCGCCTTCCGCCTCTCCCGTCAGCATCCCCTTGACAGGCCACACTGGCGGCGTCTACCTACCTACCTATGTAGCTAGCTGGCAAGCAAGGGGACTATCTCTCTCCCTCTCCCCCCCTCTCTCTCTCTCTTTCGCCGCCCCCAGGAACGACGTCAAGCGACGACGGGTTCCTATGGTACGATAGGACAATACTTGATCAACCATGTCCTTTATGAGTTCTCAGTTTCAGGACTGCGATATCCTTGGTACCGTGAAGGATATTCTATGGCAGCTTGGTAACCTGCTGCAAATACGTATCTATACGGTCTGTTCAGGAACTAAGCGGCTTTGTACCAATCAACCGAAGGAACAGATGAGGACTGCAGTGGATGAGAAAACTGAAGAAGAGATAAAAATTTGGTACTTTGGTAACACCGAGTATACGTACTTTGTTCCTGGTACACATTACTTTGAAATTCTCAACCTCTTCCGTAGGAGTTGCTCTCCTTAAGGGTTGAACGAACCAGAGGAATGCTGAGAAAGATCCTGGAGCATTATAGTTGGCTGCTTCAGGTATGACGATGAGTCGAATGATATTTCAGATGAAAATGTTGGTATATAAGGCTAGTCACTTGTTTAACTATCCTTTAAAAGTCTGAATCTTTAAGAGTGTCCAGTCGTGCATTCTGATCTCTTGGATATGAATCAGGATTTGTCCTGGAACATAAGAAAAGAAATTTTAATTGTATCCGACATTTATTATGGTAAAATCAGTTTTTATGTATTTTTCAATAATACTGGAAAACCTGAAATGCCTGAAAACTCGAATAAAAAATGTATTAAAAATTGCAGAATCAAAATTGAAGAATGAAAAATTTGATTTATCAAAATCATCACCCTCCACCATATATCACACGTGTACAGATTACATAAGTGAAAATAAAGAAGACACCCCATAAGTACAGCTCTCGATAAGCGTGAGTGCCAAAAACCGAAAATGATTTCTAAAATTAAGAAAATTAGAAAAGGAAGTAACCGGAAGGCTCGGAACCAATAATATAACCAGCATCAGTACCATCGACTATATCGCCAATACCAGCAATGGCGGATCTAGCGATCCACGCTGCTTATTGAATTTCAGGACGATCCATTATTCCCGGACCGGTGAGTCAAAGAGTCCTCGAACGTCCCTTCCGACCCCTCGACGATAAATCGCATAAGAATCGAACCCGTACAATCCTTGCCGCAGCATTGGAAACGCGTCCACTCCCCTGGTTACCATGGTTAGGATTCGTCCATCTTCTCCATGGTCGCTGTCGCCATAGCCGCTGTCTCTGACTGTTCTTTTCTTTCGCCATCTACATTTTCCTTCCCCACATACCTTCTCTCTCTCTCGCGCCCAACCCCTAGACAAAGAACGCTAAACAGAACGCGCGATATACTTAATCGTCGACTTAAGCGTATGCACCCTTTTTTGTCCTCCGTGGGATAAGGGAGAGCGTCAGAGGCGCCTATACAGGACCCAGCAGCCGTTAGCATACTGATTCCGTTCGTACTGCCGCCCACTTGGATTTCGCTACGCATTGCAGACCCTGGGCCGACGCCTCTTTTCAATCTGTATGTTAAACGACCTGACTTCCCCTTTCTCACGCACAAGCTTTCTCCTCTTCTCCTCCCACAGACCCGCCAGAAAACACCAGGAAGAGATGTAACCATTGTCCACCTCTAATACCCGCTATCCAAAAATATTAGTATCCCACTGTCAATCCTTTACATACATACACGAACCATACCGATCAAGTCTCTGTGACGTCATCCCATATTAAAACCATACATATATATACAACGTACAAATAGATCTGTTGACTCCTTTCTACCAAGACGGGTTGTATGGCAGACTTCCTAGTGAACCCCGTTCTATTACCTTCGCGAAGGTCACCCTCCAGACCAAGCAACCGGATGAGCAAGTGGCTAAGGAAGTATCAGAGGGCATCCATCCACGAGAAGAAAGAGTCACGGGGTGGTCGGAGGCGCGTGCAATTCATTTCCCGGACGAGGGGGAGGTAGGCAAGGGAGTCTGGAGGGGGGCAAAAGCTCTCGACGATATAATTACAAAAGTTGCCAGAGTCGGCGAGCGCGTGCCGCCGAGTAACAAACATCAGATGCACGAGGCCGATAGCTTTGCGGCGTCGGGAGAGATGGGGAGGGAGGGAGGGTTGGCGTTTCAGGGGGTTGAGGCCAGTGCCAGTAAGGGTGGGCAAGTTGTGAGTTATCAGGGGTGGGCCAGGCTCATGGCTCTACTACTTGAGAGCCTGTGTGAGAGAGTAGCCGTGGGTGTGTAAGAGAATGAGAGAGAGAGAGAGAGAGAGAATTGTTGG